ATAACATATAACATATAACATATAACATATAACATATAACATATAACATATAACATATAACATATAACATATAACATATAACATATAACATATAACATATAACATATAACATATAACATATAACATATAACATATAACATATAACATATAACATATAACATATCACGTTCTCTCAAACTACCCTCGTGTTTGCATCATATAGCATAACATATAACATATTTCATATAATTAAAATTAATTGAAGTAGAATTAAAAATTAAATTGAAATGTGATGTTAGACTACCGTAGAGCACATCGAAAAGTCATGTCCACCTAGAAATATTTCGTGAATGTCTATTGGTCACTGACCAAGCGAATTTAACCGTCATGTAAGTGCATCTTCCGCATGTTCACGTGCAAATTTTTTAAGCAAAACTAGTATATCACCGAAAACGCTGTTTGTAAAATCGGCTCAAAAATTTTACACTTTGGTTGTTGTTTTTTTCTTGTCAGCTGAAGACACTTTTCGAGTGCACATTCTCAAAACATTTCTGAGTCTAGTTGGTCACGGCTTTCGATTTTGCTTTTCGATTATCATACCCATACTGTATTTTACATTTCAAATATTCACTAGCTATTGTTGTTGTTCTCTCATTCCTTAGATTGCTACGAGCCTCTTGACATCGGGATCATTCTTGATGGCTCAAGTAGTATCGTCACWGGTGCAGCTGGTTACAGCAATTTTGACGATGCTAAGGATGCTATTGTGAGCTTGCTMAAGCAACTTCATGTTGGTAAGGGTGACGACAAATCCCACTTTGGCCTAATAATGTTTAGTGACGTAGCAAGAACCAAAGTAGAGCGTAGACTTACTGACTCTCAAGATTTTGCAACTGCTGAAAAGGAAATCAAAGCCATCAGGTGAGTTCATGCAATGTGATTTGAAAGGAATTCAAAATAATAATTTGCTTTCTATAAATTAGGCTATTTGGATAATGTCGCCGACTTGAACTACAATAACGAGATTGCTGTGCCTTATTGTCATTATTGTTCAAATTTTGTATTTTTCTCAGAGATTAGTTAAATAATTTTTAATTTGAATTACAGTTTAAAAACTGTATTGAAAAGGATGCACAAAAAGAATYGACCAATTGCATTATGACGTCACTTCAAAACATTCTATTGTTTTCACGCTGAGGTTTGTGGTCTCCAGATAATGAGTAAAACAAAGCTTATCCTGGTTTGGAAACCTTTTTGTTTTACTTCTTTTGTACATATTTTGTATGTATTTTGAGGTTGAAAAAGTCAAAACCGTGCACATCTAGGGGGGTCGAACACTACAGAACGAAGCTTGTAATTGGTCGAGTGACAAAAACAAAGAATTTTAGGATTATGTCAGACAATGCCTATTGTTCTACTGGATATCTTTTCTTAACTCGAAGATTGCAAAGCAATCTATGAGTTTTTCTCTCAGTCAATCACTCACTCACTTTCCTGTAAATTTGAATTCAGAATTATCAATTCATTTTAATTGTTTTCTGCTAATTTATTTACTAATGTTACCCTACTGGGTTCCCTGTGCTGTATTTGATTGAATTTGAATATTTTTCGGCACATAAAGAATAAAAGAAATATCCACTTAATWTACCGAGATTCGAACCTGAGACCGTAGAGTCTCAAGCTACGCATACAAATGTTACAAATTAGCGGCTAGAATTGCTTGTGTAGAATTGCATTTAAAATAATATTTTAATGGAGAAACCCTCTATTCATATATTGTTTACTTAAAACTCTATCGGATGTAAAGTCATTTTAATTTGATTCATGGTATCGTTCCATATTTGTTTACACAATCAATCTTCGAGTTGTGTTGACACAGGCAGCTTGATTGTATTGCATGCCTCTATTAAATTAGAATTAAAAATGAAATGGCTTTTAAGAAAAGGGGCATAAAATTTAAAATAAAATCAGCTTAACAGGCTGCTTAATTGTAGGCTTTTAATAGACATTGTTGCATTGTATTTATTCATTACTTTGATAGCATCCGTGGAGGAAACACGTACACCACACATGCTCTGGAATTAGCTGGCAAGACGTTTTTCCACCCAGGGTACAACGGCAACCGTGAAAATATCAGAGATATTGCTATTGTTCTAACCGACGGTGGAAGTGATGATGGATATACTGGTCCTAATAAAGAATATATAAAGGTTCGTTAATCATGATAAATGAATAGTTCTCCAAGATTAAGATGCACCCTATCCCTATCCGGGATGAAACCTGGCCCTGATAAAAATGCTCTTGCTACTAAACGGTCAGAGATTGAAGTCTGCATATTGCATGATAATTAATTTAATTTAATGCTATTTTTGGGTATCCCTTTTGTGGCTGGATTAACATAGTTTCGAAGTCAGGACGTAGTTTTTTTTCTTGTTATTATAACGTTGTCACCCTAAAGATGTCCACTATGACGAATGCTCGGATAATGAAGTACAAATTATCTAGAGCAGACCTGTAGGCTGCCTTACAAATGAGTGCGTTTCTCGGTTGCATAATGAAGACCTATAAGTAAATTAAATGTTTAACTAAATTAGCTCAATATACAGGTATAGTGTGTAAGAACTGGCTGCTAAAATGAGCAGAATTTTCTAACACAACAATAGAAAAAAGACGCCAAACCTTTCAGCTTTTGGGGGAGGAAGGGGTGTTCGTCATTCCCCATCCGACAAGCCTGTTTATGTATATTGATGTATCTGAATCAACAAATCTACATTTTTTAAATCGAAAGCCAACTAGGCTCAGTCNCCCTACACGGCCGAAGAGTCGATAATCCGTAGTGTAATACAGTTAATTTAGAGTTTCAAAATTTACATGTTTGTATTCCTAAAAAAACCGTAATTTTGCAATTATGGTATATGGGGTATGGTTGGTTTGAAGGATGGCACTAGTCAACAAAAATCCTAGATCCACCCCTGCAACAATAGAAAAAAGACGCCAAACCTTTCAGCTTTTGGGGGAGGAAGGGGTGTTCGTCATTCCCCATCCGACAAGCCTGTTTATGTATATTGATGTATCTGAATCAACAAATCTACATTTTTTAAATCGAAAGCCAACTAGGCTCAGTCTCCAGCCGTCGGGATTTCGTGCGCCCGCGATACTCTCTCCCCTGACGGCTGGGCGCATGGGGTTTGCTATTGTCAGTCTTGACCAATCAGCGAGTGGCCCCCGATATTTTCAGGGGCATATCATTAATAAATTAGCAGGCAGCAGTGTAACAAAATGGCGTACAATTCGTCGTTTGAGATTSTCTTTGAAAGTGCTTGTTTGAAGGCTCTGAAGTCGTTTAGCTTGGACGAATTTAGAGAAATACAGCAAAAGGTTCTTAAAGAGATTGTTCTTGGAAAAGATGTCCTTGTTATTCTTCCTATACTGGCTCGGGCAAATCTCTTATTTTTCAAACAGCGCCACTAGTGTATTTTGCTCGTTTTTCTGGCAGATAACACATCCATTTGGATTATTAAACCCTACACATGTTTTACTTGGGGTAATTTCCATTCCTTTCTCTTTTTTAAAGCGCTAACTATTACATTATATCGCTACTTCGCGAAGTTTTCATTTCACATAATTTCCCAACTTGTAGCAAAACCTTTACGGCTGTTGTCAGATATTTCACTTCCGTTCACTGAAAAATTCACTTCCGTTACGTCATAATATGCTAATTACACAAAAAACGTCACAGACATGCGCGACACGTTTCGAACCCCATGCGCCCAGCCGTCAGGGGAGAGAGTATCGCGGGCGCACGAAATCCCGACGGCTGGAGACTGACCCTAAAGCCAACCTACAGACATTTTTTTTTCGATTTAAAGACACATTTCTTTATTCAGGTAATCAGTGAACTCTTGACCAAAAGATACAAGAAATTTGATGAAATGGTTTATTGTCATGACAGTTGTTTGGCTTATGAAGAATTTATTGTTTGATTCCTAGGAAAATGATAGTAATGATTTATAATCAGTGTATTTAATATTAACCCTATTCAGACTGGGCTTTTTTTTCAATCTGTGACTGGGGTAGGGGGGGGGGGGGGGGGGGGGGGGGGGGGGCTCATAATATCTTCGAAACCAATAGGTCTATGAGCATGAAATTTTCACACTATGGTCGCCCACGCAAGAACAACTACCACACCCAATTTTGACCCGTGGGAACTAAATGTGACGTCATRATGACGTCATTTAAACCATTTTAACGATCTATAAATCATTTTAATAAATTGCCTACAATTCCACAGAGAATGCTGCAATATCATCTGTTTATTATTGAAATGACTTGAAAATAATATTTTTGTATTTTTAATTGACCCCTGTTCTATATGACGTCACAATGACGTCATAGATACCACGTAATTTTTATAGATTATATATCTATATCTAGATAACCAGTTAAGCATCATATTTAGGCTTACTGCTCTCCTATGATGATGTGTTTCATTTTGTATCCATGGTAACAGTTGTGACGTCATAATTGTGATGACGTCGTTTTCTATAGTGTCTTTGTCGTCTTTGAATAATTTGACACCAAATCTCACTTTTTTTTGTCTACATCGTTATTTTATGGTAGAATTTACAATTTGAGAAGTTTTTGAAGTTAAACAATTTGGAACAAGCAATTTTGAGAAGAATATCCGCCATCTTAGGATCGGCCATCTTGGACCGCCATCTTGAATTTTCTAAAATGCTATTAAAAAACTAAGAATTGAGAAAAACAGCTCAAAATGTCTTAAATACCTCTCAAACTAACATTTAATGAATAAAAAAGTGAGTTTCGAAGCTCTACTGATGATTATAATAGAATTTTCTCCGATGTGAAAAAATGACTGAAAATTACCCACCCCTCCTCCCAAAGTTTTTGTTGTCGAAAAAGTATTATGGTATTGTAGAGTCAGCWATGGGAGCAAGCTCAAATAGGTAAAAGATGCATAATAAAACAAGAAATAAGCTTTAAAAATGAAAAATTAAGCATATTTTACATTTTTGAAAACCTATGTGTCAAAAACTGGTTGCCATGGCGACATGGATGACGTTATCAACAAAAATATTACACAAAAATCTGCCCAGATAAATTTTAGGAAAAGTCCGAAAGTTTCAGAGCTTTAGCTGTCTTGGTTCGAAAGTTATTGGCTTTTTACGCGAGGGGGGCTCAAAAGGCCCCCCCAGTCTGAAGGAGAAATACCTCACAATAAATTGAAAAAAAAAAAAAAGGATTTTCTGTGGAAAAAAGATGCAATATATATACAGGTATGTAAACAACCATGATAAACACTATTGATAACCCGGCATTTCTTTCTTATAGGATACGCCAATTATTGCTGTTGGTATTGGATCTAGTATTAAATTTGACGATCTCGTGAAAGTGGCCCGCAACAATGCAAGCATGACCGTCCAAGCGAATGATTTTAGCGAATTGAAGAAGAAACTCGGTGACATTGTTCAATTAACATGTTAAGGGTATGAAAATACCTTTCAACTATGATATTTCATTGTAAACTTTATTCCCTCCGTATACATTGTTTAGCGAGAAATCCAACAAAAATAGCGGAATAGGTTTGATTGAMGCTTATTATGACATAACCCTGTGTTGGCCGCGTAATAAATATGCCCAAGTAATTGCTTCTGCATTTGATTTTCCTTCAAATTCTTGCATTTGTTCAATTTTCATGATGCTCTCTTTTTTTCTTCATTTCTTCTTAACTTATTTTTGCAGAGTGATCTTGCTTCATCCGTCAACTGACATSAAAAGATTAGAGTAGAACATTCAATATGTAATACTTGTCTGTCAGTAAACTATAATATGWTAATCTTAAAAGTGCTATTGCTTAATACGCGTTATCGCCAATCAAGTATATTACACGTGTTACTAATACAATGAAAAGCACAAAATAAATATGAATACACGTCTTTTCTATCTATCTATGAATGGGAAAAGKGTTCCCTATCGGTCCCTCTAATAACAAATTCAATGATCGATTAGCATATCACATATTTCKCTGGAACTACAAATTCAACCCGTGGAGGGGAGGGGACTTACCTATCGACGGACCTTTTAGGGTCGAAAATAGAAACCTCGCGTAACTTTCAGGGTCCTAAGCTGCGCTGACTCCGTACCTTTTAGGGTCAATTTTCGGAGAACGGTATGTTAAGATATCAGGAGAGGTTCGTTTCAGTCAGTTTTTCCAAAAAAAATTAATGTTAGTTTTGATTTGAAGTTAATTTCGATTTTTTAAACGCGATTTATTAATGAAAATAAAGATCGTTACCAAAACTATTCCAGAAACCGATTGTCATCACTTAATTAGGCAATCTGTCATCAGCACAAGGTTGACTAGTAACCGTTACCGTTTTCAGCGGAGGGAAATTCCTTTAGTCAAAAGCTCGTATTTTGGCCGGAGAAGCAGTGGCCCGGTGAATTTGAGAAACAACTTTGTGCCATCACTAAGAAGTTGCTCAGTAAACTTTTGAGTACCTCTATAACACGTTGTTTCGAGCTCGCTTCTTTCCCCGTTTCATACTTCCTGGACTGATTCTTGCCTTCATCTTCTGGGCATAGTTACAAACTCGTTCTCGAATTTCAATTGTGAATAAAACGTACTTTTAGAGCTCAGAGGATACTCAGCTGTAAGTTTGAAATTTGCCGAGAATGATTGTAAGAGGAACATATCCTGAGAATAGCCAGGCATAATGACATTATGCTGACAGATATGAGGCGTTGTGTTTAACACCCCTTTGGTTTCCCCAAATGAATAAACGCGTTTATCTCGCGTTTTTAAAAATAGGAAGTCTAGGAGTGCATGTGGCAAGTGCTAGCTATTAAAATAGAAATCTAAACGAAATATTAGTTTTATTTGCTTAACAGAAATCTATGCAAACCAAATTGAGTAGTACTCAATACTTTGAACATAAAGGAGTAAATGAAGCTAAATCATGGACGTAATTTCACAGGGAGTCCAGCTATCACGGAAAATTACGAATGTATCCGATAAATAACGAAAATGTACCGGAGTATAGAAGCGAGCCAATCTTGGAGTTATCCCGAATTACAGCTACACCACTTACAAGCCGATAGCATAGTGGCTTGAGCCTCGTTCCGAGGCACTAGCCACAAAAAGAGAAAAATTAATTGTACTTTTGAAACGCTCTAACGTTTCCGCAATAAAACATTTTGAATTCAAAATCTGCAAGAATAGAAATCGCATTTGGAACTAAAACGCGGTGTCGGCGATTTTTGATTTTCGCTTTCGTTGTTTAGACATTGCCGAGTTTGTACACTAATACGCGGTAAATTCAATGATCAATATTTAGGACTCTGTAGCGGCTTATCTAAAGCAGTGATGAAAAATCGCCGACATTGTTTTGAACTTTAGCATATTAGGAAAGTGTTAACGTGGTTTTCATTGCTAATACGGAAATCCTGATAATTTTGACGCAGTTCAAACAAGGTACGGTCAAAATAGGCTTTCATCGGAATATCTTTATAGCGTTTTTAGTTACGTAAATTTAGAAATAATTTTCAAAAACTACATTTATTTATCTT